GCGTGTGTGTAAAATGAATTGAGAAAATGGGTTGAAATTGTCTAGATAGTGGAGTTTTGCAAGAAAAATCCCTCAATTATCAATAAGGTATAAGTAAGTCCCCAACTTAAATTCTAATACATCTTAACCCTCCATTATCTTAAATATAAAATAAGCCCCAAGAAAATCAATTATTCCCATTTAAGTCCATAATTGACCTTGACTTTTGACTAATAAAATATGGGTTGTCACACATACAGTTGCTCCTCGTATGCCAATGTATGCCCCGGGTGATCCTAGTCTAGGTCAACATATATTCTATGGGCAGCCTCGACCTGCCATGATTCATCCACAACCTGGATTTGGGTATCAACAGCAACTTGTTCCTGGTATGATTCACTCAGAAGTTATACATTGTCTGTCATATATTGCGGGAATCTATTGTCATTTCCTGATCACTTTTATTTTGGAACAATCGGGTATAAAACGATTATGAACAATAATAGTTCCGTAGGCGGAATAACCATACAGAACAAAACTTGTTCTGGGTTAATTAACATCTGTCAAGATGCCATAGATGATTTCAATTGGTTTCGACCTTTGAGATTGACCTACTTTTGATTGTGGTTGTAACTTGTGAATTTTATAGCGAATATTTAAGCTGTTCTAACTATAATTTGAATAAAATACCATATAGATGAAATAGAAACAATGGCTAAAATACCGTATAAAAATGCTGTAAGGTTTGTGATATAACTTATAATTTATTTTAAACCTGATTTAGCTTATGGTATAAGTGTACTTTAGATTCATGGCTAGTCCTGATGAATGTCACTGTGAAGCACTAAAATGGATGGTCAAATACTTAAAATGAACTACAGGTTTGGGGCCGATATAGAAAAAGTAAGGATAGAGTAACTGTGAAATGCTGGTTCTGATTTTACAAGGAATAGAGAAAATAAGAAATTTTACAGAGGAAGGGCTCCTAGAGGAGAAAAAAAAAAAAATTGGTTGGGTCATGCATGAATTCAGATTAGAGGGCAAATATTCTCTGCAAAATCTAACCAAAGTAGATTGGAAAAATAATAAGCCAAAGTTTATCTTCCTCTAGAAATAGCACCACACCAGAAGCTTTATTAGTTCACAATTCTCATCTCTATCTCCCAAGACAAAGATTATGTGTACTCCATAATGAAAATGCCTTAGAACTATCAAAGGTGATTCCAACAAACGAATCAGTTGATTTGTTTGCTTAATTTAAGGGATTTGGTTAGATTGTTTCCTAGTTTGTTAGTTGCTATTTTTCGATATAATAAAGCGTTTTTGTTTTTCTCGATTGATAGAATTGATAAAATCATATC